ATATGTATATATACATATATATATATATATATATAGAGAGAGAGAGAGAGAGAGAGAGAGAGATCAAAGACCTTGGCTCCCCTAAGCGCAAACAAATTAAATATAAATATAATATATATATATATATACATAAATATATATATATATAGATACATATAGAAGCATGAATCTACATATATATATATATATATATATATATAAAGACATACCTCTATGTTCATGTACGATAAGTAGGTCAGTGACAGCCTTAGCGTTGCAGAGTTCGATTAAATCTTTTAAAATTAAACCGCCTCTGTTTATGCGAGTGCACTTAGGAATTAAAAGACGAAGCTCAGCAGCAAATTGCTGCAGCCTAGATGAAGGCTCTCTGCTTGTTGTTAGAACTACTCGGGGGTCTTCTATCCCTGTTCAATACATCAAAACAAAACAAATCTATTAAATTATATTATATTATATTATATTATATCATACTATATATTATATTAATTATATTATATTATTTTAATATATTTTGCTGTTAGTAATTCTGCACATTGAAAGATGTACAGCGAATAAATAAAATGTTTTTGTATGGCGATACAAACTTAGGTCTTTGTCTGTCCCTATTAAATAAATAAATTAAATTAAATTAAATTAAATTAAATAAATTAAATTAAAATAAATTAATTAAATTAAATTAAATTAAATAAATTAAATAAATAAAAGAAAACATAAAATGATAAGCATTAATATATATATTTAATATACACTTGTAAAATACTCCGTCAATTAAATAAAATCAATTGAAGAGGAGATAAACAAAAATTAAACAACAACAATAAGCAACAGCAGCAGCAACAGCAACAGCAACAGCAGCAGCGACAGCAATACAAACAAGAGCAGCAGCAGCAGCAACAGCAGCAGCAACAGCAGCAGCAACAGCAGCAGCAACAGCGGCAGCAACAGGAACAGCATCCGCAGGAACAGCATCAGCAACATCAACAGCAGCAGGAACAGCAGCAGGAGCAGCAGCATCAACAGGAGCAGGAACAGCAGCTGCAGCAGCAACAGCAACAGCAGCAGGAACAGCAACAGCAGCAGGAACAGCAGCAAAACAAGCAACAGCAACCGACCTGCATATGCATATTCATCATCTTGATGAGTGGTGAGTTGTTTGTTTTTTTCGTCTTGAAGATCAAGGGTTTGTGCAAGTCTTGCTGCTGCTGCAGCACCGCCTATCTCTGTTCCTATAGGCCTCCCTTCATCTAATGCTGCTCTAACTGCTGCCTTTCTTGCTGCTAGCTGCTGCTCCTTTAACTCCAAAGACTTGCGATATAAATACTCTTTTCGTAAACGAGCCGTGCGTCGCAACATCCTACAAACCCTAAACCCTAAACCCTAAACCCTAAACCCTAGTTTGTACTGGCTTCGTCTTCAGGAAGCTTAACCATCACCTCACCAGCTAAGAGCTGCTGCTGCTGCTGTTGTTGTTGTTGTTATTGCTGCTGCTGCTGTTGCTGCTGCTTAATGCCTTTGTTGCTGCTCTGGCTTTAAAAGAAAATATATGATAGCCTTCTGGGGCCCCACACACGAAGTGCTGTTTGAGGGGTTGAGGTGTCTGTACACCTAAAAACTAGAAAGTAATTAAAAAAGAAGAGAAGAAGATAAACTAAATAAACAAAAAGAAGAAATCAATGGTTTAATATAAAGGTTACAGGCAGCACGACCTCCTGGAGTCGATGAGTTGCTGCTGCTGCTGCTGCTGCTGCTGTTGCTGCTGCTGCTGATGCTGCTGCTCCATTGACAGTGAAAGAAAAGCCTTTGCAGATATAAAACCCTTTTTAAAAACAACAATAAAATGAAGATTTATAAATACAAAGAAAGATATTCTTCTTGCTGCCTCCAGCCTCCCCCACAACCCTTCGGGTCGCTTTGTATGGGCACCCCAAACCCTAAACCCTAAACCCTAAACCCTAAACACTAAACCCTAGCTGCAAAGGACCGGCTTCTACGGCTTCTAAGTGCCTGAGATACAGACCTGGGCATCTGAGGTTGAAAGCTGAGGGTTTAGGGTTTAGGGTTTAGGGTTTAGGGTTTAGGGTGTATTCTTCTGGAGGCGCCGACCAACACTCACAATCGAATCCCTCTGGTGGAGGCGGCTGTTACCCCGAGGGTTTAGGGTTTAGGGTTTAGGGTTTAGGGTTAGAGGAGGTCGGCTCAGCGGTGACTCGTGCTGCTGAGTGCTGTTCATTTGCTGCTTATGCATTTGGCTTCCTGGCTGCTGCTGCTGCCTCTCCAGCAGCCGCAGCAGCAGCAGCAGCAGCAGCAGCAGCAACGGCAGCGGGTTTTGCTGGGTTGTTGTCTAACTCGCAGCAGATTCTGCTGCTAGCAGCAACTGTGCTTTTCTAGGGATGGATTCCTCAAAGTAAGGAGACAAGGGACTCTAACAGCAGCAGCAGCAGCAGCAGCAGCAGCAGCAGCAGCAGCAAGGCCTGCAGCTGCAGCAGCAGCAGCAAAAGCATGACAACCAGCAGCAAACGATTGAAAGATGCTAATTGTAGAGGAGGAGAAGAGCGTCATTTGGGGGCCCCAAGGAGGGGCCCCCAAATCGCAGCTTCAGCTTGAGACCCTGCTGAGGTGTATGTACACCCTACCCAAGGCAGCAGCAGCAGCAGCAACGACAAAAGCAGCAGCTGCAGTCTTGTCTCCCTTCTCTAGGAGAGACAATCCACAGCGCAGCGCTGCAGCAGCAGAGTGTCCCCCTGCAGCCTCACAAGATTTGATAGGCTTCAGCAGCACGCAGCAGCAGCAGCAGCAGCAGCGGCAACAGTCCCACGCATTGTTAGTAGACGGGCAGCCCGAAAAGAAGCAGCCTTTTTTCGCGCTGCAGCAGCAGCAGCAGCAAAGATCGAAGAGTCTGCTGCTGCGGCTATTGTTGCTGTTTTTGTTTTGCTGCTGTTTTAGCTTCAGCAGCAGAAACAGCAGCAGCAGCAGCAGCAGCAGCAGCAGGTGTTGTTCTCTTTCAGCAGGCATTATCGCTGCTGCTGCTGCTGATTCCCCTGAGACACCAACAGCAGCAGCAACAGCAGCAAAACGAAGAAGAAAGTGGAGGGGCCCGCGGCTGCAGCTGCCTCCCCGGCCTGGAGCCCTAGAGCAGCAGCTGTCTCCTCTTAGCAGCAGCAACAGCAGCAGCAACGGAGGCGTCTCCGTTGAGTGCATCGAAAACCAGAAGAACTCTTTTCGAGACACAGCAGAAGACAGTAATCATACACTCTGTTGCTGCTGCTGCTTCTGCTGCTGCTGCCTACCGGTTCTAGGGTTCTTAGTGTAACTGCTGCTGCTGTTGCTGCTGCTGCTTCTGTTGCTCCTCCTAAAGGTGAAGCGGCTGGTCTTTGAATTCGATATGTAGAAGCACGGGTGTTGGCTGCCTGTAATCATGGTGCTGTTGTTGCTGCTGCTGACGCTGCTGCTGATGTTGCTGCTGCTGTTGTTGCTGCCGCTGCTGCTGCTGCTGCTGCAACTAGATTGGTGGATGTCTCTTTTCTGTCTGTGCAGATAAACTGTCTCCTTCCGGCACCGTAGATAAACAGCCTGCTGCTGCTGCTACTGCAGCAGCAGAAGTGAAGGAAGTGCTGCGCAAAGTCGCGGAGACGCTGCAGCAGGTGCAGCAGCAGCAGCAGCAGCAAGGAGATGGGTCTCCGAAAGAATCTGCTGCAGCAGGTGGGTGAATATATTTTTTCTGTTGCTGAAGTTTGCTGTCGTTTACTACAACAAGGCACCCCTCCCTGCTTCTGCTGCTGCTGCTACTACTACTAATGCTGCTGCTGCTGCTGCTGCTGCTGCTGCTGCTGTCTGTTAGGGGGTGTGGGGGAGTCTTTCCCTGGGGCTTTGTCTGCACTTTCGGTGCAACTTAGCGGTGCAATGACTGATTTAGAGGGGGGTTTGAAAAGGCTGCTGAATGCAGCAGATGCAACAGCAGCAAATGCGGCAGCAGCAAATGCAGCAGCAGCAAATGCACCAGCAGCAAATGTAACAGCAGCAAATGCAACAGCAGGTGCAGCAGCAAATGCTTCAACAGGTCCAGCACAAGAATGGCGAGACAGGGCCTCACCAGGCCCATCCGCACCAACAGCAGCAGCAGCAGCAGCGGCGGCAGCAGCAGCAGCAGCAGCAGCAGCAGCAGCAGGGCCCTCAGTTGCAGCAGCAGCAGCAGCAACAACAACAGCAGCAGCAACTGCTGCTGCTTTACGCTCAGATCAATCTTCCCCTCGTAATGCAGAGTTGACGGTGGAGCATCAGTTTGGCCCAACTACAGAAGAAGCGCGACGAATGGCGCAGTAGGGTTTAGGGTTTAGGGTTTAGGGTTTAGGGTTTAGGGTTTAGGGTTTAGGGTTTGCAGGGTGGGGGGGTGGATTTGCTGTGTTTCTTCTGTGGATTGTGTGAATAAGAATTTTCTTGATAGTGTCTCTCGTAGACTGCTTTGAAGGGTTTAGGGTTGCTTAGGGCCTTTAGGGTTATTTAGGGTTATTTAGGGTTTAGGGTTTAGGGTTTAGGGTTTGTGTTTCAGGCATTTGTTGAATCGTTTGATGCCTCACGACCCCACATATCACATTTTGCTGGTATTCTCTGGGGCTTCAGTGTCTCCTAATCGTCTGTCTCGTTCGTTTGCTGCTTTAATAAATCGACAGTGGTATAGGCTGCTTCATTTATCGTTTCCTACATCTTATGCACGCTGGGCGCATGCACGCACACTTGTTGCAGAGACACCAAGCCAAAGAAGAGGGTTAAGCCGTCAAAGGAGACAGCAAAAAGAATTAATTAATCAGGCTGCAGGGTGGTTTGTCTCCGGGCATAGATTAACAATGCTAGGCTTTTGCTTCTCTGTAAGCATATCTCTCAACTGTGTGCTGCTGCTGCTGCTACTTTGCTGCTGTTCTGCTGCTACGTTGCTGCTGTTCTGCTGCTCATACTCATGCTGCTGCTACTCCTGCTGCTTTTCTCCGGTTGGTGCTGCTGCAGCTCCTTTGCTGCTGCTTTGCTGCTGCTGCTTCTGATCCTCCAGTCGTGCTACTACTTGGGTTGTTCATCTCTCTCTCTCTCTCTCTGTCTATATATATATACATTTATTTATTTATTTATTTATTTGTTTATTTATTTTATTCTTAGGAGAAGGCGCAGTCTGGGAATCCGTGTTCAGGGCAGATAGCAGCGGGTTTAGATGTCTCCGCTGTCTCCTCGCTGCGCTCTTTGCTGCTTGAAAATGAAATACTGACGAACTTTCGTCTGACGGGGCTCGGAGACCTTAGGAGGGTTGCTATGTTAGGCAGAGAGGTGAGTGCATGGCTAGCTGCAGGTGTATGTATAACTAGCTAGCTGTAGATATACGCAGCTAGCTGTAGATATTACTAGCTAGCTGTAGATATTACTAGCTAGCTGTAGATATACACAGCTAGCTGTAGATACTACTAGCTAGCTGTAGATATAACCAGCTGGCTGGGGGTATAACTAGCTAGCTATAGGTATACGCAGCTAGCTGTAGATGTGTACAGCTAGCTATAAACCTGTTCAGCTAGCTACACACATCCACAGCTAGCTGCAGACATCTAGCTGTACTAGTTAGCTGCAGGTCGCTGCTCCTGCAGCAAGTTGTAGCTAGCTATATCAACGTACAGCTAGCTAGCCATAGCGAGTCCCAGCTAGCTACCCCCGCGGTGCACGCATTGTTACGTTTAGCTAGCTGCTAGCTTGCATCCCCAGCTCTTCTTTAGCTAGCTAGGGAGTGCGTAGATAGCTAGCTAGCTAGCTAGCTGTGTATTATCTGTGATATATAGATTTGCTGAGATGCACGTGCATTTGGGGTGTATATTATATATTAGTATTTGCTTGGCGCTGAGTTGTCTCTGCGTTTGTGTGTATGTGTGCATGTGTCGCTCTTCTGCATGCATGCATGCATGCATGCATGCATGCATGCAGAACGAGCTTGCAGCTCAGCGTGTTGTTCGCTTGCTGCTAGCGGAGCCCTGGCTGTTCTATAAAGATTATAATGCGGTGATGTCGGTGCTGATGGTAGTACCTCAGAACTGTGGAGGTGGAGCACCTTGTTTGAGTTCTGCATGCGTTGGGGCTGCATGCGTTGGGGCTGCATGCGTTGGCGGTGCATGCGGAGACGATGCTGCTGTCTCCGTTGGTTCGTCTGCTCTCATCAACACCACCTGCACCGACTCTGCAGTAGCAGGAGCAGCAGCAGCAAACAAAGGGGCTGTGGTGTGCAGCGAAAGAAGGAACAGCGGAGACAGCAAAACAGCAGCAGCAGCAGAAAGCGGATCGTCTCTGTCTGCTGCTGCATTACGAGGTGTCTCCTCTATGCGCTTTTGCTTTGAACCTGGGGGCCCTCTTGCTGCATGCGCAATTAAAGGGTCTCCTAATATGCAACAGCAGGATAGAGATGTGCAGCTATTAATTGAGTTATCGGCAGAGGGCTTGGGGCTGGATATCCGAAGCTTCCCGCAGCAGATAGTACAGCTTATATCTGCTGATGATGCTGATAGAGACACTGCAGCAGCAGCAGCAGCAGCAGCAGGCTCCTCTTACTTCCCTCAAGAAGACTTCACCCCACATGACTCCATCATACTTAACTCATCAACCGCAGACATGCCGTAACATATACACACAAACACCAACATAAACAAAGCCCCAAACCAGCATCAATACCATCCATACATACATGCATGCATGCATGCATGCATGATTGCACACGTATTCATGCACCTGCATGCATGTGCACCTTTGAATGCATGCATACTCTGCATGCACACACAGTCTGCATGCATGCATGCATGGATGCATGCATGCATTTATATAATGTTTGTTTATTTGTTTGTTTGTTTAGGTTTCCTACGCGCAAGTACTTGGATGTAAGCAGAGTAATACTGCAGGGCACGTGCAGACGTGTAGTGTCTCCTGCAGGAGCATCGACGCTGCTGAAGACACGCGAGTTTGGTGTTAGGGTGTCTCCTCACCAGAGGAGACAGGCAGAGATGCAGCTACCAGAGAGCCGCATATTAGTTCATATTGAAATTCGTGGGGTACAGCAGCCGCAGCAGCAGCAGCAGCAGCAGCAGCAGGTTGGGGGTGGGGAGACAGGCCAGGTATCTTCTGCTGCTGCTGCAGCAGCAGCAGCAGCAGCAGCAGGAGCGCGTTATCCGCCTTCTTACTTTACTAGTGAATTCTTTCTAAGCGAGCATAAGGAGACAGAACCCTTTACTGCAGCAGATGCAGCAATGCTTGTCTCTCAGCGAATTAGCGATCAGCATCGACATGTGTGGGGTGCAGCAAAGGTGGTGCTCTGGGAGGCGGAGGAGACAGTGCTAGAGGGAAACGCCAAAGTAAGACAAACTGTCTCCTTCTGCTGCTGCTAATAGTGCTGCTGCTGCTGTTGCTGCTGCTGCTGTTGCTGCTGCTGCTGTTGCTGCTTATCACGTTGGGGGTTGTGGTGGTGGTGATGCTGCTGCAGATGCTGCTGCTGATGTTGGTTGTGCTGCTACTGCTTTTGCTGCTGCTGCTCCTGCTGTCTCTCTTTTGTCTGTCCTTTGTCTTTATTTTGTCTCTCTTTCGTCTTTATTTTTTTCCCTCATGCACGCATGCATTAGCTGTTTCTGCATGCATGCATTAGTAGTTGTTTCATTGCATGCATGCATGCATTAATAGTTTTCTTTAATCGGATGTATGCATGGATGCATGCATTTGTAGTTGTTTCTTTGCATGGATGCATGGATATATAATTTGGATGGATGAATATATTATTATTATGTATGGATTGATAATTTGCATGCATGCATGCATGCATGCATGCATGCATGCATGCGTGTGTTGGGGCTTGTTTAGGGGTCTGCAAAGGAAGAAGTTGGGTCTGGAAAATCAGATTTTCAAACTTGGAAAATTTTAGTAGCTGTGCTGGTGCCTTCATTTGTTGTGGGTGCTTTGGTTGTTGCTTCGTGGCATTCAACAGCAATTTGCAGCTGCGACAAAGAAAAAGATAAACAAAATAATCATCAGCAAAGTAATAATACACACTCGCAACAAGCAGATACAGCTGCTCCTACTGCTGCAGCTGATACTCCTCCAGCAGAGACAGTTGCAGCACCGTCTACAGATTCTCATCCTGCTGCTGCTGCTGCTTCTGCTTCTTCTTCAACTGCAGCTCCTGCTCCTGTGGTAGCAACACCTCCAGCCCCTGCTACTGCTGCTGCTGCTGCTGCAGTGCCAAGGTGTATAGCCAAGAGAGGCTCTTCATAGAAATTAACCCCTGCATGCAGATTGGGGTGTCTGGGCACCTCAATATATATAAAACGGGTCGAAGAAACCCGCATCAAACAAAACACAAAAAATAGTGTTTGTGTTTTTCATCGGGAATGCTGGAGAAGCAAGAGCCTCAATATTATTTTAATTATATTTGATATATTTTACTTTCTTTGTCTTTCTATTTTGTTTTCATATATTACTCAACTAATTAATTGTTTATTTTTAATGGCTGCAACAAATAAACAAAAAACAAACACAAACGCAAAAACAAACAGAAACCCCAACAGCGAGGGTTTAGGGTTTAGGGTTTGCTTCAGCCACACTAGCTTTCTTCTTTCTGTTTGTACAGAAATATAAAAAGCAAACGAAGAGCGTTTGGAGATGCGGATGCCCCGCTGGATATACACTCCGTTCAAACAACATCCGCTAGGGTTTAGGGTTTAGGGCTTGGGGTTTTCCTTCAGACTCTCCCAGCCGTCCTATGCCCTCCTTTTGGCCTAGGGTTTAGGCAGACACGCATGCATGCAATCTATATATATGATATATATATATATATATGCATGCGGTGTCTGTACACTGCGTGTTGTTTGCATATTTCAGTGATTATTATATGCCGCTGCCTCTATTATATCTGCATGCAGATGTTTTTGTTTGTTTTTAGACAGCTTAGAGGCTGTGCGTTTTGTTCGTATTCATTTGGGGCTATGAAGAGGGAGAAAGAAAGAAGATATTTTAATGAGAGGCTCCGTTCTGGAGTTTGTTGGCGTAGCTGAGGTGTACGTACACCTCAGGGTTGTGCATGCATTATATATACATATATACTCGTGTTTATAACGCGGTTAGAAGCAAAGAAGAGACACCCTTATCATTGTCTGTTTGTTAATTTTTTGCTTGTTTGCCTCCTTCTTGTCTTGCATGCAACCACCTCTCTTTTCGCTCGTTGTTTTGTCTGTCTCCTTGTCTGTCTCCTTCTCTATCTGCTCCCCTGTCTCCTTTTCATCCTTTGTCTCCTTTTCAATCTCCTTATCTGTCTCCTTATCTGTCTCCTTATCTGTCTCCTTTTTAGTCTCCTTCAGCCCACTCGTCTGCATCTGCGCCGATGAGATATATAGGCTTTCTCTCTCCTTCTTCTTCATCTGTCTCTGAAGATTCGCTATGTTCGCTGATGCTGCCTTTCCTGCTGCTGCTTCTGCTGCCGTTGCTGCAGCAAAAGAGACACGGAGCAGCAGCATAAAAAAAGAATATAAATACAAACACATCCCTTCCTATCACTCTGCTTATTGTCTTGAATTATTATTTTCGTTTTTGTTTGTACTTTCACCTAACTTCCTCAGCATAAGACCCTTTACATACTACCCCTTTGCTGCAAACTCTTTTGCCTAAGGGTTTAGGGTTTAGGGTTTATGCAGCTGTTTAGCAGCAATACTGTATATATAAGGGTTTGCGTATTTGTGTGGGTACGTGTGAGTGCATGTAGGGTTTAGGGTTTATTTAGGGTTTAGGGTTTATTTCGAGTTTAGGGTTTATTTCGAGTTTAGAGTTTATTTAGGGTTTAGGGTTTAGTTAGGGTTTAGGGTTTACCTGATGGCATTGGTGGTTTGCTGGTTATTATCATCTTGTAGAGTTTTATCTGTCTCTTCTTCTTCTTCTTTGTTAGCATCAGCGTCTCCTTTAGTATTATCATCTATCCACTCAACTTCAAGATCTTCACCTTGATAAGAGTCAGGCTCATTCTTAAGACGGTTAAGAGTCTCCTTCAAATGTTTCTGTTGGGTAATAAGCTCATCAACATTTTGCTGTATTTGTTTGAATGCCTCCGATGTAAATCCTAATGCTTCAATATCTGAATCTGCTGCACCTGTTGCTGCTGCATGCAGAGCATATCTGATAAGTTTTAACTTTCTATTTCTTAAGCGTAATTTCTCTGCTGCTCTCGCTAAATAAGCTGCTTTTCTTGCTCTAAACTCTTCATATTGGTGGCTGATTGTTGCTGCATCTTCAAGCTGCAGCTTTAATAAAGCAAGGTATAACTCTGATAAAGGCATGCCGCACTCCATTACTTCATTATCAAATATATATGCAGACTCTCTTTGCTCTTCTCTACCCAACTCAGACATCAAACGCTCGACGTTCGGTGCTGCACAGACACCCCAACGCACACACACACATACACAACTCTTCAGCTTCATACCTGCACTGTAGATGCATATATATATATATATATACATATGTACATATACAAATATATATATCTAGATGTATATATATGGATCTATACAGAAATACATATATATATATATATACATATATACATATATATATGTATATATAAATATATTAATATATATATATATATCAATGCATATATATATATATATATATATATATGTACACCCATACAGGTGCTTATTTAAATATACATAAACGCTTTTGGATCCATGCATATATACATAAATTCATGAAGACGCAAATGTATATACATATATATATATGTATATATATATATATATAATATTTATATATATATAAATGTATATATATGCATACATATATATAAATATACGTATTTATATGCATATACATAAGTCTATGTATGACACAGATATTTGTTTTCTATGAAAAAATATAAATATGCATGCGTAGATATATAATGTATATACTATATAATATTATATATATATAATTGTATTATATTCTGATCCATGTGTATGTATGTAGGCATATAGAGATTGGTGTGTATATACAGCTGGTGTATGCATGCAGAGTATATATATGTTTAGGGTTTGTTTACATGATTTTTTCTCGGTGTTTGGATCTTCACTGTTTTGCTTGCTTCTTTCTGTCTCGCTATCTTCTTGTTCTTTATCTTCTGCTTCTTCTTCTTCCTCTTCTTCTTCTTCTTCTTCTTCTTCATCTTCATCATCATCATCTTCATCATCCTTCTCTTGCTCTAAGTCGCTAGCTGAACAGCCTCCTTCAATATCTTTTAACCTTCTTCTTTTAATTCGTTTCTGATCTCCTGCAAGCCGCTTCTCTATTCTTCTAAAGAAGCCTTCAAGAGGCTCAGTTTTATTATTATTCTTTTCTTTTTTAACTGCTTCACCTCTCCTTGATAGCTTTTGTTTTTGTTGTAAAGACCAATCAGCTAACATAGAGATATCCCCTCTAGCAATAGCTTGTAGAGATTTATTACTTTCTTGTGTCTCTTCTTCAACTTTATGAAAAGCAAATCCTAGTCTTAATACAAATTCTAAGAATGTACCGGGTATAACATCTAACTTCATATGCACAACAGCAAAACCAAGTGTCTCCGCCATGACTTTAAGAAAGTAATGTCTCTCTCTTGTATTAATTCTTCTATTACTTTGTTTAGGAGTACTTATCTTTAGAGATCTATGTCTCTTTGCTGCTATCAATTGGATTATATCATTCTCAACATCATAAACAACTATAGGCTCCCAAGACTTTCTTTTCTCCGACCATCTTGAAAATGCTCGAAATAGACATCCAATCACAGGCACTCTAAAGAAAGAACGATTAGCACGAACATTATCAAAGTACGCAAACATTAAATTCACCAAGACCTCTAATGCAAATAATAATAAAGCCACAACTACTACTATTGCAAGTGCTACATTCACATTCGCCGGAAAATTCGAACCCGATATTGCCTACACACAAACCACAAACCCTAAACCCTAAACCCTAAACCCTAAACCCTAAACCCTAAACCCTAGACCTTAAACCCTAAACCCTAAACCCTAAACCCACCAACATAATGCAAATCGTCAACGTCCAAATAGACATGCTGTGGTTTTCTAGGTTGTCGAGAGTGGAGTAGTTCCTGCGAGTTGCGGAGACACCGCAGAGGAGACTTTGAGGTGTATGCATGCGCTGTTAACTTGTGGGGTGTATATGTGTCTCCTTTTATTTAATGGGTTCCTTCTAAGGAGTCTTTCTTTCTCTATCACGACTGTTTCTATCTCCTCTTTGTTTTTTCTTGATCGTGCTTTTGCTTTTATTCGTTTGTCTTTATTATATATATAGTATATATATATATATGCATGTGTATGTGTATGTATATGTGTATATACGAATATGCGTATGTGCATATGTTTATATATGCATGATATATATATATATATATATATAT